TCTGTGCAGCGCTCGCTCAAGGTTTTGCTGATAACGGGGAGAATGGTGGATCTGTCCTCTGACAAGAAAACCAGACATTCCTCATGACTCATGGAGGTGGCAGCGGCATAATACATGGCAAAAAAGAGCGCTGCCGTGTCGTTGCTGATGGTCTTGGCGTCCAACGAGTCGGCAAAGTGACTAAGCTCTGCGGGAGCGGTTGGACGATGAAGAATCTTGATGACGGGATCAACGTTGGTGAAATATGTCCGCGAAAGATGCCTGATTTGAGCCTGCGAAGGATGTTGTGGACCGTAGGGGTTTATGTCGCCTGAAAATGTCATGATCAAGCCGGACGTAGCTCCAGGGGATGAGTGCGTCTGGGAGGGAGACTCGGAGCTGAAAAACAGCCCTTCGTCGTCATCTGATTTGTCGCTCTCCGATTCCTGGTCCAGAGCTTGCTTGATCCCATCGACCTCGTCACATAAATTCGACCAGAAGTCGCTGCTGAGGTAGTTATTCGGGGCCACAGATGTCTCACGGGATGATGATGTCGTCGCTGGCCCTGCATTTGTCACAGTGTTGCCTGGTGACTCTGTTTGTTCCTGGGTATGAGGCGCACCGGATTCCACCTTGATAAATGTCCCCAGTGGAGGCTTGGAGACGGCGGACTCGACCTTGCCGACAATGCTCTCCAAACGGTGGATGCGGTTCAATAGTTCGCTTTGCCGAGCCTGCCTGGGTTTGCGAGTGCGCTTGCGAGCTGGAAAGACGCAGTCGAGGGCAGATCGCGCACACTGTGTACAGCGAGGTTCAATTTTGTCACATTTTATCTTCCTTTGGCGACAACTTGCGCAGCTCAATGGTTTGTTCGAAGGATCTTGTTGTGAGAGAGGCGGCATCGTTCGTGAAGAGGTCGTGAGCGACAGAGGTGGTGTGATTCCAAGGGAGATACACCAGGTATGAGTTTGAGCTGTACGAAACCGGGCCAGAAAATATGTGCCTAACAATTAGATTCCGGCTCTCCATGCCCATTGAAGACTCAGGTATTTGGCAGATAACACATGGATGTAGATGCAGGGGGGTCAAGTGGTGATGTCGTTGATCCTTCGGCCAAGGAAGCCTGGTGGTAGCGATGCATCCACTCGTTGTAACCTCAACCGTCGTCAGCCCTAGGCAGGCGAGTGGGGCTCATCGTGCATTCGATTCATCCCTCTCCTCCCGCCCATTGATTTGCTTACCTTAAGGTATGCCACATACAGGTACTCACATCGTGACAACATTTAGGTTCTGGCTATACATCGTGAATGAGCTACTCCCCGAGGTGAACACCAACTTGTTACGTCTGTGCCTGCTCTGTCAAGATCCACAATGCGGCTTCACCGATCCAGGTGATGAGTTCTCAGACAGCTTGTAGCGCTCCAACTAGCGCCCATCGTATGCCGTATTCCAGGCTGTTGTGTACCCCGCGATCTTCTGTGCACGCTGATACTGTCATGTGAGTCAACCTCTGTTGGCTTTGTGCACAAACGAATAGACAAGAACGAAATCGTTCTCGTACTTACATGGCATTCCTCCCTTCTCAAAGTCGGTTGAACACACCTTCTCACTTCGGACCATCTAGACAGTATGGCTTCCCCAAACCCCGCGAGCGAGGCCCTCATCGAAGGGCCCCTTGATTTCATCACGGTCAAGACAACTCTGCCCGCAAGGCCACTCCCCGCCCACGCCTCGCGCCAGCCTATCCTCACGCCGCGTCTCATGATCCGCCCCTTTACCGAATCGGATATCAACGCACTGCGCGTCCTCCGCACGCAGCCGGAAGTCATGAGCAACACGGCCGCCGGCCGCATCGACCTTGACGTCGCCGAGACGCAGGCCAAGCTCGCACTGAGCCTGCCGCCCAACGACGCGCACACGTTCAACTGCGCCATCTGCCTGCGCGACTCGGGCGAGTTCATCGGCTGCGGCGGGTGCCACGTGATGATCGGCGAGTTTGGGTGGCCTGTCCTCGGATACATGTTCATCAAGGAGCACTGGGGCCGAGGCTTCGCGACCGAGTTTGTGACGGGGTTCCTGGCGGCCTGGTGGGCGCTGCCGAGAGAGGTCTACGAGCTGCAGGTCGATCGGGGCACGGTGAGGGTCGGGGAGGATGGGCTGGCGGAGGAGCAGTACACGGCCGTCACGGTCGACGATAATGTGGCCAGCCAGAGGATCCTGACCAAGACGGGCTTCGTCAAGAGGAGGGTCTACAGCGAAATTGACTCGGCGGATCCCAAGGGCGAGGCGATCGTCACGTTGCTGGGGTTTACGAAGGGAAGGCCGAAGGAGCTTCCAAGCCCGACCTCGTAAGATGAATGTGGCCAAGGTTTCCCCGTTTGTTTGCTCGTGTGCTGCAATCTTACACTGACCGGTATCTCGAGGTCCATGGACGTGGGACATGTTTGTTGCCACTCCGGCTCCGACGCCGCCCTGAACCATCACTCCGGTATCTGGCCGGCCATTCAAGCCACTTGTACGAAGCATGTGAAGAGCGGTTGATTCTTTCTGTTTGGGGAGAACTGTGTTCTGAAAAGAATATGGATGTTGGGGCAATGTTCCTGATTGAAATGGCCTTTTATTTTAGGGACTCTTATACTTGACGAATAGCTATGAGCGATACATAGGAACGGGCCTTTGGCATGACGACAGCTATTGCAGGGTATCTCGGAGGTCAGTAGGTGTTTCTCGGCCTCATGCCTCCGCACCATTCCAGACCACTCGTCCGGTGTAGGCTGAGTTTTATCAGAACCATGCCAGGGGCGGTGATTGCGCTTTCGGCGTTCACCTGGCTGGGAAGGCTGCCTGGCACAGTCAAGCGTCTCCATGGCTGATGCTCCCGGCACCCAGTGGCAGGAGGCTGGTTGCAAGGCGAAGGCGCAAGATGTGATGCAGCACGGTGGGCTCACAGGAGGCTCAGCACGAACGGTTACGCTGCTTCCGCGCCCCTGGAGGCCTTCACCGCTGGCCCGCCCCTGCAGGTGCCTGCCTGGTGGGGGGGGGAGTATCTAAATTAGGACAACGAGGCCAAGCTGTCAGCATCTGGCCGAGGAGTGACAAGAGACGGGAACTTGGGTAGCATGGGAAGAGAATTTGACTTCTGGTGCATGATGTTTGGTGAATGAGGGAGGACA